GGCCAGGTGGTGGCGGCACATGCCTTAAACTCAGGAGGTGGGGGGGGGGACTCTCTGTGAGTTAGAGGTCAGCCTGGTCTGATCTACAAAATGAGTTCCAGGACATCCAAGGCTACACAGAGAAACCCTGTCTCAAAAAAAAAAAAAAAAAGGAGCCTGTGATGTTCATAATAACTCAAGGTGAAGGGTTCATATTTCAGTGCATTCGCTATTGTGAAAACTAATCCAGTGGCGAGCCTCATTGAGGAAGTTAACATTTTGGAATTCCTGGTTTTGGAGATAATATTGAGCTTACTGAAGACAGGAATAGCCGCCTCCAGGAATTACAATTATCTAAGTGTCGTTTAGTGAAGGGCTCTGGCGGCGGCCTGGAAAAGGTGGCTGCACCTTATAGAACTCCATGTATTTCTCCCCAAAGCCCGCTTCTGTAGTGTAAGCCCTTGCAAGCCTGTGGCTCGTTTTCTGTCAACAAACAATCACCAGTTCTCACTCCCAAAAGCCAAGCTGTCACCCAGCTGTTCCAGTCCTTCTTTTAAAATCTTTTCCAAACTCCATCATTTCACCCTAAACCCAGACTCACATCCCTTTGTTTTGTTATAGAACATCTCTCCCGTTTACTCTTCTCTCCACATTCTGGACCCTGCTACCAAATTTCTACCCTTCTGTTACATCATGAGCTTTGAAGATTGAGAGGGAAACTCTGGTCTATGACTGTCTAAGCAGGGATCCTCCAGGGATCTCTTCTGCTCAGAGGTGATACGATCCCACGGCACAGCTTCTGTGCTAACAGACTGCGGTTTGGTGTTTGCGGAACACACCACGCTCTTCCTGACTCTTGGGTTTTACTCATGACTTCTACATTAGGGAAAAAAGGGAGGGGGCTGGAGATAGGTTTTCTCATGTGTGGACTCTATACCCAGAGATGGTGTCTTTCTATAATCTGCCTTTCAGCCCGATTTTATTGGCAGCTCTTTCAGACGACTCTGACAATTTCTCTAGAGAAGATGGGTGGTTAAGCAAATCACAACCTTCTAGATTTATGGAAGGGGTCATGCCTTGCCCCGCTGTGTGCAGCCTAACAGCCTTGGCAGAGTACTGAAGGCATAGGAAATAGGAAAGGCCCAGCTTCTTAGACATGTGATATAGCGCTAGCCACTCACTGGATTACCAATGCCCCAAGCAACAGCAGGCAGCTACACTGTGAGGTGTATCTTAGTGTCAAAAGCAGTGTGGAATGCCCATAGGACACATTCTCTGTAGCAGTTTTTATTTGTCTTGATATTCCACAATCAGTTACTGTAACTATGGGGTTACAGTACAACTTGAATATTTAATTTGTGTCAAGCACTTTGCTAAATGGCTTCGCCTCTAATGTGATGCTCCATTCTTACCTCCACAGGCAACTGAAGGAAAACTGAATTCCAACAAGGCTGAACAGCTGGCTTTATAATGATGAAGATAAGCCTCTAACTTCCAAACCCCTAAACTTCTATATTAAATGTCTCGGGAATATATGTCAAAATGGATGCAGTGCTCGCTATATTAGTCCCACGGGAAATGAATGCTTGGGGGCTAGACAGACGGATCACTGGTTAGGAACACTCTTGGGGGCTAGAGAGATGGGTCACCGGTTAGTAACACTCTTGGGGGTAGAGAGACGGATCACCGGTTAGGAACACTCGCAGTGCAATCGTGAGAACCAGAGCTCTCATCCCAGCCCTCCCAGTACACTGTGTCCTGGAAGTGCCTGTAGTTCCGGCTCTAAGAGATCCAGTATCCAGTCTCGGTTCAGCACACACACACACACACACACACACACACACAGGTGAACAAAACAATGGGAATGAGTGGATACATTTTACACACGGATAAAATTGTCAAACAAATGATCTTCAAAAAAGAAACAAATACCAATATTCACAAGCAGAGATGTCTCCCTGTCCCTTTGACAATAGTAAATCCAACAGTGAGGAATTACCCCTCAAAAGGCCAGGTTCCCTCCCCCACACATTTGCTATTGAAGTATAGGGTATTTCCCTTTTTTTTCTTCCTAAATAGGTGGCCCACAGGAAGCACACAGTGGAATTCAAAAGGCATGTATAGCTTGCATGATGGCAAATGTTACTGTGTGCCTGTGGGACGCTCTACACACTCCTTATTCAAGAATTCAGAGGGAGTGTCCCAAATATCTGCAAAACAGCCTTTGGTGAACTGACAATCCTGTATGCATGGAAAAGTTCCAAGTCCTCAGTTCTGTGGGACCCTTGAAATGCTGCATGTCTGGTAAGTATAAGCACATAAGAGGGCTTTTGCTTCTTCCGTAAAGAGATGTAGTGAATCTCTAGGAGTAATACCTTCATGTATGCATTCCTTTTCTTAATATTTTTATTTATTCTTTGATAATTTCATATATTTATACAATGTATTTTGAGCATATCCATCCACCATAACTTCCTCCAAGTCCCCCTAGTGTCCCCAACCCATTTCCCTCACAATTTCATGTCCTATTGTTCTTGTTTTTCTAAACATGTGTTCTTGATAGATGCTCTCAGGTGATATAATCAGGCAAGGCTGAGAAGCACTGAGAGCTGCCCTCTGCCTTAGATTCTATAAGCAGACAGCCTTCCTAAACAAATTAAAAAGCATTGATCATAAAGCTAAAATAGCCATGGTAGTTTCTTTTTGTTGGTTTGGTTTGGGGTTTTGTTTGTTTGTTTTGTTTTGTTTTTTTTGAGGCAGAGTTTCTCTGTGTAGCCCTGGCTGTCCTGGAACTCTCTCTGTAGATCAGGCTGGCCTCAAACTTAGAGACCCTTCTGCCTCTGCCTCCCTATAAGCCCATAACTATCTTTTTGTGGAAATAGAGGGTAAGAATTACTTAAAGTGCAAACTGTTTTTAAAGAAATCTATTAAGAAACATGAATTTCAAAAGTGGACATTTTGAAAACACTTAGAATTTTAAAAATAGACTGAAAACAAAATTAAAATGTATTGGTTAAAAATGTTCAAGATAAATTAATTAAAAAATGTTCACGAACTCTCAGGTAGGATCAAGAGAACTCAAAGACTGTGCCAGAAGAATCTCAAGTTTCCATTTTGGACGTCAAAGAAGAGTTTATTCGCTCAGCCCAAGGATAAGACTCACTTCTCTGTTTCTTTTCTGGTGTGGCACATTTCTTTGTCTTACTCAAAATTATGTAATACTTTTACTTGGTTGGGTAAAGCAAATTTATGGACTGAAATTTTTTGTAAACCGGTTTATTATAATGGGGCATGTCCCACTCCAATGGGACATGAGTAGAAGGGAATTTAGATTTGTTTCTTCTGCATTATAAACTTGCATGTGTGTGTCTTGAAGACTACTCATTGTATACAGAACATTCCTTGAAATTTGGAACTATGAAGTGCCTTACAAACTGGAAGGAATTGTTTTTTACACTTTTTAGAGAAGTAACAAGGCATAATGAAGGGACTTGGATTTCTAAGTCTAAGGACCTGTGTTTGGATAATAACCCCATTATTTAACTTACAGTGTGGTCTTGAGGCCCCATCATTCCAAGGCTCATGGCTACGTTGTATGGTTGTTTAACACAAATAACAAAGATGAGTTCCCAGTGCAAAGAGAATCAGAATGGTGGTGTTTATTTCTATGTTAGAGTGGATCTTCCTCGTGTGGAGGTCACTCCTCACCAGTGTCTCACAGAATAACCCTTGAGTGGGAGACACGGTACATCGAAACAGGTCATGGTTAGACTGCCAGAAAAACACACAACAGAGGGCCAACGTTCCACCTCTTCCTACTCTGGCACATCCCTCCATTGGTGACCATGGTCCAGGAAAGTTTAAGGCAGATGAACAGCTGTATAATCACCCAGCAAACGGCAGCATCACACCACAATTTCCAGAGCCAAATTTCTTACTTTACATTATCTTGCAATGATTCTGTCCCTTTTTCACGAATTAACTGTGCGGGGGGGGGGCAGAACCTTGGGTGTCATTAGTCAAGTGCCACCCACCTTGTTCTTTGAGACAGGTCTCTTGCTATCCTGGAACTCACTGGCTAGGCTGGGCCAGCAAGCCCAGCCATGCTTCTGTCTCTACCTCCCCATGGCTGGATTTGCCAGCACGCCCCCAGCTTTTTCACAAGTCTTTTAGGGAACCGAACTCAGGTCCACATGTTTGCGTGGCAAGCACTTTACTGGCTGAGCTATCACCCGGTGATAATTTAATCTTTAAAACATAACCCCTATGTGGACAGCACAGTGAAGGAAAAGGAGAGTATCGGAGAAAACAAGACCCCATTCTCAAAAGACCTGAGGCTTAAATGGTGATGTTTGACAGATGACGTTTAACTAGAGCTGATGCCAACGGTCATAACCCAGACCTTCCTTTCACAGCCATTGTGACCTCCCAGCACTTGGGCCCCTCGTTCAAGGGTGGTACAGTTCTGTATGTGTGTTACGAGGTCACTGAGGGGAGCCATGACAAAGGGCTCTAAATGTGGCATGCTCACCTCAGACCTTACTATTTAGAGAGGTGGCCCCTCCTCACCTGTCCCATTCATCATTCCCGGCGAAGTCTGTTTATTTAGCCGGAAGTATAGGAATACCAGCGAGAAACCAACATCACACACACGTGGCTGGAATGGGAACGGTGACATTTTTATATTATCTAACCAGCTGCCAGCTCTTAATAAGCATTTCCTCAAGCCATTCTTACAATGACACCATTGTCTATCCTTAGAAATTGCTATAGCTCTATGGTTCTTACCTACAAGAATGCTGAAAAGGGGAGAGGAAGAGGAGTTAAAACACCCCAATCAAAGTGGTGGTGGGGGGGACTGCCAGAGGTATTTCTGGAAGCCACAGTCTAATACTGTGTGGTGGAATATCACACGCTTCTCATCAGGTCACGCAAACATGCAATTTTAGACATTGTCCATGGAATCTCAAAGTGCGGTGAGAGTTCTGGAGGGCAGCCCTCTCCCCTGGAGCAAACTGTACCTGGGGCATCATTGAGACTAAAGGCGATGCGTACTGGTCTATCTGCAGGTACCCTGGCTGCGCTGATCATGTGGGCACCCGAGGCCCGGCCTTCTCCTGGGGCTTCCAGCTGTAAGGACAAGAGATAGCCATTGTCATTTTGCCCAGCACTGTACTTTGACACCCCATAGATCCTCGGAGCTTAGAAGGGGAAGTTAATAGGTTGCCTTCCCTCACATTGTAAATACCTAGCCCGTTTTAATTTTTTAAAGGCTTCTACAAAAACTACTTTGGTAATAGACATCCAGGATGAATGAAATACGTTTTTTTTTCAAATACAGTTTTTAAAATCTCTACTTCATATTTTCAATGTCTCTTCCCATTGGTCAGTTTAATCCTGGCTTTGAGGCTCACCTATAATGCTTTTATTTATGGCAACAATATAGAAAAGACACGGTATTGATAGACTGACAGAAAGATTTAGGCTTGGCTACTTTTCCATGCTTAAGAACCAAGTTAGGGAGTGAGGAGATGTCTCAGATGGTGAGCAAGCAGAAGGATCAGAGTTCGATACCCAGGTAAAAAGGAGGGGGCAGGTGCACGCTGGTGACTTCAGTGATGTAGCGACAGAGACAGCCGGGTCTCTGGGACCCCCAGGGCAACTAGCCTAGCCTTATTGGCAGCATGCCCCAGGCACTAGTGAGAAACAGGGTCTCACAGAACGAAGAAGGCAGGTCCTGAGGAACGACCACAAAGGTTGACCTGTGTCTTCTACATGGGTGTGCATACCTGCATGCCCATGCACACACACACACACACATACACACAGTCTAAATTAAATGCAAAGTTTTGTTTAGGCAGCAGTAAAGGATCAACATAATGGAATCGTTTAAAGCAAATCCCAAGCCATTCTAAACCCCCTTTACAGTTGTAGTATCTGATGACCTCGAAATCTATCAAACGTTTATGCCTAAGGCTTCACTTCTTAACAGCAGGATACGATCCAAACAAAATGTATCCGTGGGGCACACACCTATAATCACCAACCTTTGGGTGTGGCTATGGGAGGATCAGCTGACCCAAGGTAATATTTACTAAATAGTGGGTTTGAAACCAGCTTGGGCTACAGGAAGCCCTGTCTTTAAAACAAAACAAAAAAACCAAAGAAATGCCATGAATGTTTGGCTCAACCTATTAAATTATTATTTAGCTAATAGACTTAGAGATAATGAGTGGGAAAAACATCCTTTGCATAAGATGGCAAGAGTAAAAACTGTTCTTAGGAGAACTTAACCCAATTAGACATGCAATAATTTGATGTTCAGTGGAACTGAGAAAACATGTTATAATAAACAAATTATATGGCTTTTTAATACATATATTTAATATTTCTATTTTTGGTCATGCCTCCTCTAAACTCTTCCCCATGTCATGTAGGCAGAAAAGCAAAAAAAAAAAAAAAAAAAAAAGAACCCTGCATGATATGTTAAGGAAAATGTCTCCAAAAATGGCAAAATATAAATAATGTCTTTAGCCATCCTTGGCAGGATCCTGGGAACCGCTGTAGCAGAACATTTTCTCATGGTCAGGTTTTTTTTTTTTTACTCTTTCCCATAGCTTTTCTGTGTCTAAAAATAGTATCCAGAACACTGAATGTTGTTTTTACAATTACTTATGTGGACAAGATCAAGGTATACATTTGTACAAGGGCATTCAGATGTACATACATTTTGAACCATCTTAGGTACCATATGGAAAGAAAAGAAAATAGGCTTACATTAACCATTTCAGTAAGGCTTAAAAACACAGCAACTGTTTATGAGCCACTTAGAATTCTGTTGCACCCATTAAGTTAACTCTACAAACAGCTATGAGCACTGGACATTCTACACACCACAGCATGTAATTATAAGTTACAAAACGACGCTATCCTGAATTTGCCGTGACTTAACACAGGGCCTCTCGCTTTTACAAGAGCAAGCCTCTGGCACATTCTTGTGTAGTTTCCTCAGCTTTACTATCAAGTCCTCTCTTAGCCACCTGCTTTTTGAAGAAACAACACAGATTGTCCCAAACTGAACAAAACAAACAAAAGCTCCCCCCCCCCAAAGTTGTAGCTGAAAGGGGAAAGTCTTGCTTCTGGGCATCCTACAGTACCCAGTTCACCTGAGTGTGACTTCTAGGGATGGAGGCTCACTCCTCTCCAGGCACATGTCTTCACGCTTTCCTGAGTCAAGAAATGAAACAGGTGAGGTGAGGGGGAAGTCTGCCCGTGGGGTTTCCTGAACAGACCTCTGCTCTGGTCTCAAGCTAGAGCAACGACATGGATGAACACGGCTAAGCACGGCACAGCAGGAAATATCTGTCTGCCTCAGAGAGGGTGATGCCAGGGTCCCGCAGACAGTGAGCTCCACAGAGCGGCCACCACTTGCGTTTTCATCACACCTCCTGGGGAAACCGGCTGCTGGTCCCCTCTCCTGGCGCTGTTAACAGAGCCCTAGGTAAGCTGCTGGTGCTCGGAGCGGTTAGTGGAGTCTCACACCTGCTGCCTTACCTCACTTAGTTGAGAGTCTGCACTTGTGTAATCCAGGGCCAGCCACTGCCTTGGCCAGTCGTTGCGTGTGTGGAGTCAAGACTCAGAGAGAGACCAGTCTGCACCTGCTGCATAGCAGCCGCAGACGCTCTGAGGGGCAGGGACAGCTGTCCCGGCTGCGCACTACTACCTGCTCTGCCCCAGACCCCAGTGTCCCAGCCCACGGGACCTCCCTGTTCCGCTTCCTTACACAGCCCCTCTCTCCTTTCCATGCCACTCCAACAGCCAGGATGTTGTCATGTTTCTAGAAAAAGCGAGGGCAAAAGAAAAATCTTCCTCCTGTCAGAGGCATTGATAAACAGCGAGTTGTAGAGAGTCCAAGTGCTTGAATTCATTAGTCCTGGCAAACCTAAAATACAAACAGCCTTGCTTCACGAGACAGGAATGTCTTCGTGGTGACCCAATCCGTGTCTGTGGCTATTCCAGCAAACTGGCAAAGATAGCATGACTCTAGTCAGCAAAAATGTCAGCTCAGCTAGACCCAGCCAACTTGGACAGGCCACTTGCTGACTCTTGGATCGTAGTTGTGATGATCCCATTAAGGAGACCAGGTCTGAGGCTGAGCCCGGGCCGGAGCCTGATGACTTGATCCATTCTACAAACACAGACACTCGACAGGGGTGAGTGGTGAAGAGAGAACACGAGGATCCTTCAGGCTTCTTTTTACAACTGTAAACTTGGATGTCTTGGGCATTTCAAAGTAACTGAACCATGATGTTAAGGTTACATGGTTAAAATAACATGAATAATATTAACAGAATGCAAGGCAAGTCACAAACCAAAAGAAAATTTTTGCAAAATGCACGTGGGAATTCAAAGTGTGCAAGGAAATCTTAAAACGGAACAATAGGAAAGCAGTCAAGTTCAGAAAGGGAGAGGCAAGCGTTCTCAACAGACACGTCACCGGAAAAGGTAAATGGGTAACAAGTAAACCCATGACCAGCTTTTATGTCATCAGAGAGTCTCGTACTGAGACAATGGTGTATCACTGTGCACCTGTCCTCATGGCCCACGTCCCAAAACAAATGGTGAAGTGTATGTGTGCAAGTGTGGTACTTCTTCACATCTTTTTAAAGACTTACTTATTTATTATGTATATAGTGCTGTGTCTGCATGTACTCCTGCACACCAGAAGAGGGCACCAACTCCCATTATAGATGGTTGTGAGCCACCATGTGGTTGCTGGGAATTGAACTCAGGACCTCCAGAAGAGCAGCCAGTGCTCTGAACCTCTGAGCCATCTCTCCAGCCTTACCTCCTTCACTTCTAATGAGAATATAAAATGAGCCATCTCTCCAGCCCTACTTACTTCACTTCTAATGAGACTACAAAATGGTAAAGGAGCTTCAGAAAGCAATGTGATTGCGTCTTGCTAAACTAAACACATTCCTACCTTGTGATCCATCAATCCACAGGCTGTTTGATGGTCCAGTCTCTGGGGTCACTTGACATTAGATCGTAATTATCATGATGCAAACATTCAGCCTCAAAGGAAGAAAGGTTGTATGTCTTTTATGTGCCAAATGGGAATAGCTGTTGTGTCTCGAATTTTAAATGTCATCCAAAAGTCCATGCATTGAAGGCTTGCCTGGCTACCCACAGCACAACTGGGAGGTGATGAAAACTTTGGGGGGAGGTTTCTCTCTGAAGTGTGCCCTTAAAGGAGATTATCAGTGTCTCAGCCCAGACGTGTTCTCCTCAGTCTCTCTCTCTCTCTCTCTCTCTCTCTCTCTCTCTCTCTCTCTCTCTCTCTCTCTCTCTCTCTCTCTGCCTCCTGGACTTAGTGATTTGAGCCATTTTCTGGACCACATGCTCTGATAAATCCCCCCTCCACAGACCCAAAGGCAACAGGACCAAGAAAGTGAGAGCTGCAACCTTATAAGTTGACTTCTTTAGGTCCCTCTCCAAAACAATGAGAACTAATGCAACACCGTGTCTTTACTGATTCCCACCTCAGCCCCGCCCCCAGGTCTGCTTCTAGAAAGGCTGATGGTGACACTGAGGGCACTAAAGTTATCGGTAACTGATAGCATCTGGAGTCCAGTGAAACTGAAAGGGATGGGAAAAAGACAGACTGAGATAGCACCTTTCTTAAAGTGACAGTTCCTATTAAATGCTTGGAAATCACCTCCTTCCATGATCATGTAACTAGTACCTGATATATGTGGCATTTCTCTGTCCCAGAGTCACAAGAATAATCCCAGAGCATGGGCTGTGATGCCGATGGTTCCATCTTCTAAATGTCTAAGGCGACTTCAGGAGAGAGGTGGGGCAGATGCCATGGAGGAACAGATTTCCACAAAGAATAATTTGACAACAATGAGTGAGGAATAAATAAGAAAATGTCCAAATACTCTAAACGTGCTGTGTCTGAACCTGATACTATAAACTGAAACTTTTCCAACCATAGTACCTACTAACTCTTTGGTTGTCTGATGAATGATGATGCATTTCTGGACTTGTTACTCAAAACACATTCAAGACAACAACAAATAAACACAAATGAAATGCATTTCCATGACTGAAAACCAAAACAACGACAGGGCACTTTAGAAATGCAAAAGAGTTGGAGTAATTCAATCCAGAAAGGATATATGTGCACATGAAAATATTAACACATTAACAGTATGCTTCTGAGTGGTACCACTGCCCAAAATTTCCATTTTATTCCTTTCATCAATAAGCATTTCACTGTTTGTGTCAGTCAACTTTCCATACCCATGACAAAATACTTGAGATAAATCAGGTTAAAGGAGGAAGGACTTATTTTGTCTCCTGTTGCCAGGACTTCCATCCATGGCCACTTGGGCCCATTGATTGGAGCCTGTAGCAGAAGAGTGCATCATTGCAGGGATATTTTGTGGAGAGGATGTTCTCCCTCATGGAAGTAAGCAAGGTAGGAAATTCAACAGTCTCCTAAGTGCCCCAACTGAGAATCAAGCCTAGAACATACAGGTCTTTGGAAACACTCTAGACTCAAACTCTAAACTCAATAGAAAGTTGTTTTTAATAAAAGGGGACTTTTGGTTGAGCATAGTGTGCATGCCTTTAATTTCAACACCTAGGAGGCAGAAGCATGAGCATCGCTGTGAGCTCAAGTCTGGTCTATAAGGTATGTTCCAGACCAGTCACATCTGTACTGTAAGACTCTGCCTCAAAGGCGCAGGGTGGGGTGGGGGGCAGTAATCATAGTAGTTCCACATATGAGTTGTTTCTGAATTATGACTTAGGATATGCCCACAGTATAGACTATTATGATAATTTTGTGATATAAATTTCTCAATACAAAACAAGCATTCCTGAACTTGCTTGGTTGCTTAGGAGGCACGAAAAGGATCTGGTAAGGTCATCTTCAGACCAGCCTCTCCTCCTGCCCTGCCCCTGACCACGGCCAAGCCTCAAGTCCTCAGAGCCTCTTCCTGCTTCTTTCTGGCTTGTCACAGTAACACAGTGAAAATTCAAAACAAAATCCTGCAGGCTCAAGAGCAAACACAAGATACTGCCCAGTTAGCTTTTAGCTTGGCTTCTATCTTCTTAAATGGTGAACAAAAATTGCATAGATTCTCTCAATTGTGTGTGTGTGTGTGTGTGTGTGTGTGTGTGTGTGTGTGTGGTGTGCCTGAATGTATGTATGTGCACCACCTGTGTGGAGAAGCCCTGTATGTCAGAAGAGGCATTGAGTCTCTGGAATTACAGGCAGTTGTAAGCTACTGTATAGGTGCTGCAAACCAAATCTGGGTCATATGTATAAACATGTTCTTCACCACTGAGTGCCACCCTCCAGATTGCATAGATTTTTGATGTAAGAATTTCTGATTACAGCCGGGCGTTGGTGACTCACGCTTTTAATCCCAGCACTTGGGAGGCAGAGGCAGGGGGATCTCTGTGAGTTTGAGGCCAGTCTGGTCTACAGAGCAAGTGCCAGGATAGGCTCCAAAGCTACACACAGAAACCCTATCTCAAAAAGAAAGAAAAATGAATTTCTGATTATATCTTGTCACCACCTTTCACTTTGATGGAGGCTAAGAATTGATTTTCCTAATCCAAGTTCACTTGAGGTTTAAACTAAGTGACCAACATTAGGTGGTTGCTTTCCTCAAGCTCAAGGTTAGATGAGAGATGAGAACTCCTGAACTACTCGGTGGTTTCTCCTTCATGAACCTTACTAGAAAATGATGGCAATATCCACTAGATTTTCCGGCTTGGAGAAAGTAAGACAGATGGTGAAAAACTGTGGCCTATGAGCTCAATCCAGGCTGCTATCTGTGTAAATAAACTTCACTGGAACACAGCCACAGTTTAAGCCAGAGCCAACATAAAATATATAAGAATCTAACAATCTGGTTGTCTAGGTCTTGGTCTGGCTCTTCCTTTCAAGCTTCAGCTACACCAACCAAATAATCTATGCTTCAGTTTCCCCACAGAGAACTGTAGTGGTCAACCAGATGAGAAGCGGCTATAGGGCAGTGATATTTCCCATTCCTGATGGTCCGCTCTCAAGGATGCCAAAGTCAAGCATATCACTTTGATTACCAGTTCAAATGCACTTGGTGTCTTCAGAAGTAAGGTCAAGTGTAAAATCACATGGGTGGGGAAGGAATGCCTTAGCTGTTCACTAGTGAGGGAGAAAGTCATTAACATACAATAGAGAGAAGCCGAACTTCATGTGTGGCCTCACACTATCCCACTAGTCTTTCTTCTCGGTTTTGTCTCTTACTCATTTGGCTATATTGACACTGTTGCCTAGCATCTCTCGGCCTTGCTTTCTCTTTCGGAAGGGATATTTAAAAGTGATGGTTTACAACATTTCTTATAATTCTAACTTGGTTAAGTTTAGGAGACAGAGCTGGCCCTTAATTGAAAATGTGATTATTCACAGAATTCTTTCCCTGACTTGGAGTCAGTAAAAAGAGTGAAGTGGTTTGTAATAAACCAAAAATACATTTTACAGCAGCCATCAGGAAAAGCACAGAATGGAGATAATCCCTTCTTTCTATGCTGAAGCCAGCTAACAATACAACCTCCAACTTCTCTGCCAAGCCCACTTAGTCATCAACTATCTGGTACCCAAGCAGTATCCATTCTGTCTCTGATTATATCGTGAAACCTGAGGATGTCCAAAAAAAAACTGACAAGGAAGTGATTGTGTTTTGCTCATCAAAACACTTTTCAAATTAAGCCATCACATCCTAAAATAGTGTATTAGAATCATCCATCAGGACGTCTTCCTGAAGGCGGGTGTCAAGCACTATGCAGATACAAAAATGACTAATAGCAGAAGCCTAACAAGACACCTGTCAATCCGCCATTTTTAGCTTAGCTCCTTCCCATTCATCTGAGTTGCCTGA